AGGGTTTAGGGTTTAGGGGAATGGTTGTGTTTAGGGTTTAGGGTTTAGGGTTTACAGTTTAGGGCTTAGGGTTTAGGATTTAGGGCTTAGGGTTTAGGATTTAGGGCGTGTGAAAAAATGCTAGACATGTACTGCAATGACTTTGCATCGCATGTTCGATGCTCACGGGTCTCGTGCAACTGTTTCCATCTGTCCTTTCTATCAGTTGCGCAAATACTTGAGATATGTGATCATATGTGAGGGGCGCTTTGGTAGTGGAATGTAGTGGAACCATGTAAGATTGTATTCCAGGAGTCCCACAACCGAAAAGAAGATGAGATTTCAATCTGTATGGTAGTTCCAAATAATAGGGGGACCCCAATACAGACCCCAAAATACTATCCTAATTATTGGGACTCCTCCAAAGGTACCCCTAGTTTAACAAACCCCATATTAGGGGCTAAACCCCAAACCCTAAACCCAAAACGTAGGGTATCCGTCTTTCGAATGCTCCTAATTAAGAGAGTAGTTTCCACTTCATTTTCCATTATCCCAATACAAGACCTAATATAAGCCATTAGTATAGCATTTTCCATTTAACTTTCCATTGTCCCTAAACCCTAAACCCTAAACATTTTAACCCCTAATCTTACTTAGACCTGACCCAAGCCTCGCGCGAGGCTGACTTCACGCAATCAGCGTCAGACTGCACCGCCACACGCCCATACCTAGCCACGGGTTTAGAGACATTTTCCAAACAGCCTCAAGGGTTTAGGGTTTAGGGTTGAGGGTTTTGGGCTTGGGGGTTTAGGGCGCAGGGTTCTGCATTTTTTTCCATTTGACTATACCATTATCGGGGTTATATGCATATATGTACATTGCTGATGCATGGTAGTTTCAAGAAAGGGGTGCTCTCTGACATGATTGCAGCACACTAGGATTCTTCTTTCCAAGTTGGAAAGGACATCACGTTGTCGATGCCTGGTCTGTTCTCGTCCGTGATCGGTGGCGCCTTTGGTGGCCATAGTGCAAAGCCTGTGGGAGTCGAGAAGCTCTTTCCCAGCATGAAGCTTCCTTGTAGTTGATCAAGAGGTGAGACCCGAAGAAGCTTGCTTCGCGAACCGACCTTGTCCGTGACATAAGCCTCCATACCACTGCGCCGGCCAAGGCCAAGCGGCCATTGGAGCGAACCAGCTTAGACTGGGCGGAATAATGTGCCAGGGCCTCGGCCAACAACTCGGAGTTCTTGAACCTGTGATTTGATTGCTGCTGGATCTCTGCCAGGGTGGTTCCAGAAGCGCTGGGAAAGAGCAGGTTCAGCGATTCTGGCGTCCTCGGACTGCTGCCGCTCACCTCAGTGGAGGGCACGATCGCCACTATTGCCTCCGGCAGCACCCCTTCTTTGTCCGCCCTCAACTTGCCAGTGGCGTTCCGGACCCACTGCTTCCGCTCTGCCGGGTAAGAGAGCGCCTGCCAGACTTTCCCACCATCACTGCCATACTTGTAGATGTACCTGCCTGCTCGAGCAGTTCTAGCCTCCAGAAGGATCTGTTCGCCCTGCCAGCAGGTTCTTACTTGCTTCCATCCCTCCTTTGTGCAATACGTATCAAGGCTGCCTTCCGACGTGGCTGTCTTCTGGCACCCAGGCACCAGATCTGAAAAGCACTCACCGTCCAGGAGCCAAATGACAACCTTGCGGGGAAGAGCCCAACCAGAGATGACTTGAGACACCAAGGATTTGTCGATTCGGATTAGCCTAGATGATGCTTCTTCTCCTTGAAGTACTCTTCGCCCAGTCCTCCACGTGCAGACCGACGATAGCACACTTCCCCCTGGACCTGGGTTGCAATAGACATACAACACGGTTGTCACGGTCACCTTCCCATCCTTGTCAGTTTCCTCTTCCTCCTCTTCGCGCAAAAAGTGATATGGCGCGCTCTGCTCAATTCAGTGCTTGATATTGACCAGCTTTTGAAGACGCCTCCCCCCTGAACCCTTGTTCGGAAGCGGGCGGGAGCGCACTTTCTCTTCCGGCCCCTGATATTTCATGGTCGGGCTGCAGAATGTTGCACATAGTATGTCACTAGACAAACGGCTCCACACGATGTGGTCCAGGAACATCCTTGTCCTTCTCATCTGGATCAATCTTCCCGAACTGGACGTAGCTTGGAGTTCGTCCAAGGTAGCGTGGGCAGACCACCACGTAGTTACTCGCGTCCTCTTCCAAGCCCTTGTATTCCTTTTTCTCGTCGAGCTCCTCGTTGGCAAGGAAGATGAACTCTTTCCACAACCTGAGCACGGCGAAGACGTCACTCTCAAGCTTATGGGCTCCAATCAATGCCATGAGCATCTGGCTGACTACTTTGGCACTTTTGACCTGTTTTGACCATCAGGTGTGACAGACAGATTGTTGTCATCGAGGTATTAGTGCACCCTTCTTTCAAGGGTCTGTCGGGACTGACACGGGTCGCGCGCAGACTCCGCCACCACCGCTGCCAGCTTGAGAGTTTCCTTCCCAACTCTTGCCATGCACTCCAAATCATCCTCAAACTCCTGTGCTTGGGTCTGGTCTGGCGGATCGAAGATTTTTTCCAACTTCAACCGGGCTGGGGGATGGCTCGGCAGGACCCCACTGTCTTACCAGCTGTTAAACGGAGAGTCTGTCCAGTCTCCGGTGAAGAGAGGGGAGCCACAGCGGCAGATCGCTCTGGGCCATCTCCATGGCTTTGTGGCCGATCTGTATGTCACGCACCTTCACGATGAGAAGCTCAGGAAGCTCTTTGCCTCCATCAGCCTTGTTGTCACTTGTAACATCAATGATGCCGCAATGGAACTTGAGCACACTTTCCAGTTTCGTCGGGTCCCCATTGACTCTTTTTTTACCTCCAGGCGGCTCTCGTGGCTGCCCACCTGAAGCCGATAATTGCGTGCTGCCAGCAAGGTCGTTAGCAAACCCCAAGAAATGCCGTCGTGGAGGGTATCCCCTCACGATGAAGAGAGGCTGACCCTGACCTACTTTGGCCACTTCAGCAACCAGCGCTCGGCGATGGGCGGCAGCAGGATTTTCCGCGCCCAATTGCCGTCTTTCCCCGCAAGGGGTTGAGAGATTGTAGTAGCTTCCATTTTCTTTTCCATTACCCCTATAGAACCCCAATAAATACCCATAATACAGTAGCTTCCATGTTCTTTTCCGTTACCCCTATATAACCCTATGCTATACCCCATATTACCCGAAAGGCCTGGGAGCTGGTTCTTCCTCTGGCTTGTCGGATGAGGCTCCCAGGGGGCAATATTAGGATAATGGAAATTAAAATGGAAACTACTATAATATTATAATAGGGTATATATATACAGGGATCCATGGGACCTAGAGATTGATCTCCTATCAACCTTCCACCGTGCTTCTGCTAGTTGCTCACGAAGCTGTAGCTCGGTAAGCTTCGCCACAACCCTCTCAGCAATGCGCTCTTTGGCATCTTCGATGTTGGCTGTGATTTCACTGAATTTCTTTGGATCTGAAATTGCCTCATTCTTGATTTGTTCAGAGAAGCCCACGAGTAGATTCAGCCCGACGTAACATCCGTGCCGGCTGTGCTCTGTGACCTCAAAGAGGTTGCACGACTGTTGGTATGAGCTGTGGTGGCAATGCGCTGCAATGCTATAGGAATCGTAGTCGATTTTGGGACGTGCGTACTCGCATAACTTCTCAAGTGCCTAGGGCCCCTTGAGGCCGCTCGTCAATCCCGGGGCCCTGATTTGACGACTCATCCATCGGCCAGTTTGGCCCTTCAAGCTTGTCTCTCTAAGAAGACTAACAAACCTTGCCTGCTACAAATTCTGAAAGCGTCAAACAAACATGGAAAATTTAGGATTTCATGTGTCAGATGTCTAAATGAAAACATGCGGAATGCAGGAGCGGCTGCTCATAGAAGTGAACTAGAAAGTGACTCGTTTTGTGGTTCTTTTGTGCAAGCTCGCGCGGTCTCCTTCACTAGGCCAACTGTCACCCTAAACCCTAAACCCACTTGAAGC